ATATATATATATATATATATTTATATTTATATATATATTTATATTTATATATCTATTATTTGGATACGTAAGAGATAGATTTGGACTGCGTGTCTTTTTTAAGCATCCCGAAAGCAAATACTTTGTTTTCTTCTCTGCAATACTGTCTCGTAACGCGGTGCCTCGTGATTGTCAATACCCCCCAGTCGTATAACCCGATGTCCTAAATCTCTTCAGCTTCCTGGTTTCCTTCCTGGTGGACGCGAGAGGTGGTGCAATGCGCGGATGCAGGCACAGCGGCGTCCGCGTGATTGTCCCACCGCGCAAAGCCGCGATGCCTATGCGTGTCACATGCAGATACTTGAGAAGGGACAAATTGACGAATCCACCACCCTTGATGGAGGGGGAGGCGTTGGCCAGCCGTATCCTCGAACTGGGGCCTGTGGGTGCAAAATTCTTAGGGTACGTCTCGCATATTCGTGAGAATTTATTTTCTTCACGCTCAAGGTGATAAAAGCTTTTAAAGGCATCTTAAAGACGCCTAAGAGTATAAAGTAGGACGTCCTTTAGACGTGTTTAAGGATATCTTTAACTTGTTCTTTAGAAATTCTTGTTACCTGAAAAGGGAATTATTATTATTATTACGATGAGGACGTGAGACAATTTCTATTGGCTTGCATTCTCTCTAGAAAAAATTAACAAATTAAAGATACAAATAGATAAAAAAGACAAATTAAAAGATAAAGTTAATTAAGATGCATTTATTACTTGAATTTTTCTAGAGAGAGAGAATACAATGTTTGTTGTCTCTTTATCTCTCTCTAGAAAAAAAGTAATTAACAGATTACAGAGACAAACTGAAAGATAAAAGTAATTATGATGCATTTGTTAATTGCAATTGTTAATTTTGACCTCCGTTAATTTGAATCTTAATTATTTCTCGTACAGCCCTGTTATCATAGAGGTACCACACTTCGCGTCGCTGCGCGGAAAGGAGCGGGAAATAGTGATTCTTCGATCGGACAACGGAGAGACCTGGCGCGAGCACACCTTGGAAGCCAGCGAGGAGGCTGTCCAAGATGTGCTTAACGAGAGCTTTGAGGGAGAAGGTGCGTCTCGAGCGATGATCTCATCTCCTATTCCCTTCACGCAGCTTTTGAACGCGCATACGTGCGAGCACGGTATTGTCGCACTAATAATGTATCGCTATTTTCCAGAGCTAAGCCAGCTGGAAGATCTCCAAACGTCACGCATCGTTAGGATACTCACCGTAGATTTTCCACATTACTTCGCGGTGGTATCTCGTATCAGGCAAGAGGTCCATGCGGTTGGCCCCGAGGGCGGCACCGTGTCGTCGTCCGCTGTGCCACAAGTACAAGCTGTCTTCCCGCAAGCGGCCCTTACCAAGAAGATCAGAGTCGGTCTGCAGGTATCTCCTCCGTTTACTCCCGCCGCCGTCGCGCTCGATTTTGAATCACAGTCGTTGCGTGATTTCATGAATTATTTATTTCATTCATTCATTCATTCATTAAACGGATCAATAATTCATTTGATGATTCAATACATTGGATGAATTAATGATCGCAACGTAGCATTTTGTATCTTGCTGGCATTCTTAATTTGAAACCTGGCACACCAATTTCTTCCGTACAGAGAGAAAAAAAGTTTCTCTAGATCTACTAGACCTGTTTCTCTGACTTGGGTCTGTTTAATATGAACAGCGTAATTTAATATTAAATATCATTTTGTTTGGGTAAAAATACCGTTGTTTCACTAGAATAAACCTGTTACTTGATAAGAAACGCAGTATCATTTAGATGAAATAATACTTCGTTTTATAAAAAGTAATTTATTTCACCCGTGTTAAATATCGTTTCGTCGAAACAACGAAGTTTTTTCATTCTTTTAATATTTTTCTAACATAGTGTTACATCTTCCAAATAATTTATTGCTTGTGGCAACTGTTGTAACATTTGGATGAGAGTACAAATGAAATATATTACTTGACGTAAGGATATTCGTTGCTTGAAGAAACAATCCTGTTTGTTGAGTCAAACATTCATTTGTTTGCTCTATTCCAAAAGTTAAGTTTATTTCACTTGAAAAGGTATTATTAATTTTAAAGAAACTTTCTCTTTGTATAGTTAACCTGGTCGTTAGTTCATTATTGCCATTATTACCGTTAATTAAGCTTATTATTTATTTTTATTCTTATTATTCATCTTTATTTATTTTCATTTATTTATTTTCTATTATTTTTCATTACAACAGTTATTTATCAGGCTGAACAAAGTTCTTACGGCTATTATCGTTGCACTACGTGCAGGCACACCCGATACCCGCGGATCTCGTTGCCAAATTACTCGGGAACAGAGTGGCGGTGTCTCCGATCGTTACCGTCGAGCCGAGACGAAGAAAGTTCCACAAACCGATAACCTTAACTATCCCGGTGCCACAGGCGGCCAACAAGGGAATGATCAACCAATACTCCGGGGACGCACCGACCTTGAGGCTCCTGTGCAGCATAACTGGTAATATATGCTTGCACGTAACATTGTAGAGCAGCGTACCGTCTTACTGGAGAATCTCTTACCGATAGACGGCGAAAACTAACATACGTATATCAAGCCGCATATACATATCTATATATATACATATATATATATTTCTTTACATGTGTCCCTTCGGTGTACATATATATATGCTCTCTCGTGTTTGCCGAATCGCCGTAAATGCGCATTCGAGTACCGACTTTGGTAGTTTAGCAGGCATGAACGCAGTACGGAGTAGGGCTATTCTCGACTGTGTTCTCTCAGGTCGTCGGGACTGCCAAATCGTGATATTTTGTTGCACGAGAAGGTGATGGTGGTGATGGATAGTGATGGCGGTGATGATAGTGGTGGTGGTTGCTTAAATGGTAGTAGAGCACTTTTGCAACTCGTGTTGGTTCTTGTATGTGCGGCGAGCAGCAACGGTCCGGAGCGAATCCTCGTGGCTTGCGTGGCAAGATAGTACCGATAACGATGTGCAACGGGCATTCATTGTGACGTTCTCACCTCGAGGACTCGACGAATCGATTCTCCACATGTGTGTGTGTGTGTGTGTGTGTGTTGAAAAATATGTTTGTTGTTCACCCTTTTTTTTTTGTTTTCGTTGTGAACGACTCGACGCGCGTATTTACGCGACGCGAGGGACGCGTCCCGAGGACCTTTTCGGGTAGAGATTTAAAAGGGAGATGGTAGCTGCATGTCTCATAGAAACATTGCGTTGAGTATCATTATTGTATACATATATCTTGTTGTGATTCATTGTTAATGCTTGCATATTGTTAGGATTGAGTCATTTAGGTATGGATTATCAATTAACCGTAGATCTCACATTTCTTACTTACCCTTAGCCCATCGTGTGAGCCGTTAACTTGCCAAGTTTTTGTTCCAGCACCACGTTCCGTTTGACTGGTAAATCGCTTCTTCGATCTTGTGCATTAGTGACTCGCCGTTTACATGAAATTGTGTCTGCTCATGAGATATGTGTATCTTAGGCTGCCGCAATATAATGCGTTCCTCCGTGATAGTTTCCACGTTTTAGTCGTGATAATTCGGCGGGACTTGCGCCGTTTTAACGATACCACATACACATTAAATATTCCCACTTGGACTCTCTCTCTCTCTCTCTCGTCCAGTCTCAAAGTCGCGATCGTGAATAATCGTATTCTCAGCTACAACAACGCGCGTGAAATATTCGAGCTCTGATTACACACACACAATTGTTTCGCGATTGATCTTTCGATTCTTCGGATCGGTCTCGCCTGCGAAAATTTACATTTTTCCTTTCACACATACACACACATACGACGACGACGATATATTATTCTGATAACAATAACAACAGACGCGCGTACTCGAGCGTAATTCGATTAACAATCTCTTTCGTGGTCTTTTGTACATTCCGTTTGTCGCTTAAATATTATCTTCTACTTCCACACACACACACTCACGACTGCCTCTCACACGATTCGGATAGCGCTTCTTCTTCGTTTTGCAAGCATTACCATTCTCGGTCGTTTATTTCTATCTCTCTCGACCGATGTATCTATTTTTTATTATTACACACACACATTGATAAGTAGCACCTGGCGTCAGCGCACCGCTGCAACGACCGTTCTTAAATACGACGTGCTTCTCGGACTTGTTATTGCCGATTGTTGTCAAGCGTCATTTTTTTTTGTTCTTTTTTTTGCGGTCAGCTTTGATTCTCGTCCGACCTGTCTATCGTTCGTATTTAATTCCGGTCGTGCGAGATTATCGAAGTACTCTACACATACGTACATTTAAATACACACACATACATATACACACACGTGTTTCACTCTCGCCATTTGCGCATTTGCAACACGGACATATTTTAATAATGTTATTGGACTTGGCATGTATGTCGTTCAGGGGGTCAGACTCGGGCAGTCTGGGAGGACGTCACAGGCTCGACGCCGCTGACCTTCGTGAAAGATTGCGTCTCCTTCACCACTACAGTCTCCGCACGCTTCTGGCTGATGGACTGCCGTAACATCTCCGAGGCCACGAAAATGGCCACGGAACTGTACACGCACGCAACTCACGTGCCGTTCATGGCCAAGTACGTATTGCCCTGCGGATGATGTAACGCATGCCCTGACGATGATGACGACGATGATATTACGCGACGCACACGTGAACTTGGAATTACCGGCTCGGCAAGTGCGAGCCAGGTAAAAGCGATGTGTCCCTTCTAATGTGTTTTTCTCTTCCTCTCTCACGCACAGGTTCGTGGTGTTCGCGAAACGAGTGGATCCAATGGAGGCGAGACTACGCGTGTTCTGCATGACGGACGACAAAGAGGACAAGACTCTGGAGCACCAGGAACACTTCACGGAAGTCGCCAAGAGCAGAGACGTTGAGGTGATTCGGATATTTTCTTTTTTTACAACACTCGCTCAAGTTTTCTGCAAGGAATTCGAAGGGAAATGACTTACGTTAACTTTTTGTCGGCACATTTCTCTCGCCGCTTATTCTGGTTGTGATCCCTCCCCCCTCCCAGTAAATTTTCAGATATGCTTTCACTGAAATATCTATAAATGTATTTACTCTATATGCAGGTATATTAATGTTTCTCAAGAAGCAAGTGCAAGAAGGAAATTTGAGAAATTTGTCGCGATTATTGTTTAAACAAAAACATATAACATAAAATATAAGCAAAGATTCTGCACAGAAAAAAAGGGTAGAAAAAAATTGTATGCGCTTCAAGAAAGAAATTTCTACGTTTGCGTGTGTAATAATTCAATAAACTGTGGAATCTGAATTTTTCGCTCGAGAATGATGCAAGATGAAAGATCGTTTCGAATTACTGCTGTGACAGCTGGCCGCAGTGGCCGGAATTGTCGATTTGGATCCGGGATACAATTACGTCGATCAGTTTAATTTAACCCGTCCGATGACGATTCTTACGTCTATTTCTATCATGACGTGAATCTAATCGACGATTGACTCGACGCAACCGGCCAATCCGCATTGATCGGGTTCGGCTGATTGGCCGATGCGATTTCGTTCGAGCTAATCGTCGATTGGATTTAATAAACCATGACGGCATCACCGGCCTTTTTCTTTTTTTTACCGTTTGTTTACCTCCGGAGCCTTCAGTGTCTATCTTTATGAGGTAATTTGTCCAACGACGAGATCATCGTTGCTGCATACGTCGGCGACCGTGACATTCTCCGTGAGAGACCGTTCACGTACGTTCGAATCGGTATCGTAAACCTTTGCCCGCAGGTTCTGGAGGGGAAGACGCAGTACATGGAGTTCACGGGCAATCTCGTGCCCGTGCTGAAGACCGGCGAGCAGCTCCAGCTGCCGTTCCGGGCGTTCAAGGAGAACCGAGTGCCGTTCACCGCGAGGATAAAGGACCCGGACGCCGCGGACATGATGGGCCGCATCATGTTCATGAGCGAGCCGAAAGTTCCACGTGGCGAGCTGCCGCAGACGCCGATCTGCACGCTGAATATCCTGCTGCCCGAGAAGATTTCGCCGGACACCGCGGTCTCCGAGCTCGACCTGCTCGAGCTGTCCAAGAACTACAGCTTCCTGCGCGACGGTGGAATAAGTAAGCGACCAGGACATCCTCTAATAGTAAAAAAAGCAGAGGGCACAAATGGCGAATTCGATCGTCCGCTTTAAATCGCCGCCCGAGATATCGCCTCTTTTATAATAGCATCGTCCTATATTTATGAACGCATAAATCATGATATCCTAATCCGTTCTCCGAGTTTGCCAGATGAAGTAGGGGAGGGAAAATCCTTAATATTTGCAGCGCAATAATCAAAATTACTTGGATAGAGGGCAAATCGTAAATTTATCGAACATAATTGCTTTAACGATCTCTTTCACTTTAAAGAAGTTTTATGGCTGCTTTCGAGGTAAGAGAGAAGTCCGTTAAGGATTGCAAAAAGTCGAAATTGCCTGAAGAGCATGTAAATCGTAAATTTATCATCGCATTAACGTCAGAATGCACTGTAAAGGCCATTAAGAGTAATGCACGTTCGGTATAGGAATTAGGATTTCTAATTGCACTAAAGCAACCGTGAATAACTTCTTAATTATCTCTCGTCTTCATTCTTTTTTTTATCGAATATCTCTCTGTAAAGCTTCTGAACATTAGACAAATTTTATTTCACACTAAAGGTAAAAATTACGCGAAAAATATCAAAGTACTGTGGCGTAACATGAGCACTTTTCTGACAATGAAATAATTAATTTACCATTTATCAAATAATTAATGTAAATTCATATTTGCAAAAATAATTTTCTCCTACAAATATGACGCGACGATATCATTATTAAGTGTTAAGTAACTACTTCGTGTATAGCAACCTTCAACATTCACCAATCCGGTGTAATGTAGGTGATCGAGCTCGTTAATAGATACATATTACGTTGAAAACTACAAATTAGGAAACATCGTACACTGCTAAATATCATTGGGAGAGCGTTCTATTCTATTAATAATCTTTCGCTCATTACTTCGAGCTGAAATTACACAATCGTCTCGCGTATTCGACTCTCCAGATTCGGTCTCGTGAAAAACAGACATTTCCCTTCTCCCACGCATGACGACACCAACACAGACGATAACAACACAGTAGTCGCGTAGACTCGAACGTAATTCCATCAACAACAATCCAGTCCTCCACCGATCCTCGTGATCTCGTATCTTTCGTATCCGTCGCTCAAGCATTATCTTCTACTCATACACACACACACACACATACCGTCTTTCACACAGCACTTCGGCCAGCGATTAAAGCCGGATTATGGTGATGATTCTCATCTGACGAATCTCGCTGTGTCTCCCTTTCCAGGCAGACCGGACGCCATCCACAGAGCGACTATTCGTCTGACGGACATCGCCAATCTGCTGAACACGGATTGGGAACAGTTGGCCGAGGAGCTGAACATACCGCCGAACGATGTGGCCCTGATCAAGCAGGAGTACCCGGATAAACCGGCGCAGCAGGCAGCTGCGATGTTCAAGATCTGGCAGAACAACGGGAACAAAGCCACCGGTGAGTTTTATGGCCGGATTACGTAACGCCTCTCTCACTCTCTCTCTCTCTCTTTGTTGTGTGTGTATGTGTGTACGTGCCTACGCACGAGGCCGAGCTTTTGGTGAATGAGAGGCGACCGGTGGACCACGTCTCATGGGTTTTTAACTTTAAATAAGAAAAAGCCCATTCCCCTCCCCCCTCCTCCCCCGACAAGGTCAATTAATTGCGCTACAGTTGAGTCACACGCGAGGAATCTCAACCCAGCTACGTAGATGATGATCTCATTGTGCATTATTATGCCTGACATAAGTCTATACAGTCCCTCCCTTCCCTCCCCCTAACCCCGCTGATGGCATTGCCTCGCGGCAGTTTCTGCAATCGGCAGAAATAACAAGCAGTCAGTGGGCATAGTACGTGATCGGCGGCGCCGAGTAGCGAAAGTGATTAAGAAGATATAAGTGTCCTCCTTCGCGCGACTTTACCTCTTCTTCTTCTCGTTCTTCATTCAAGCCGGTTTTCGTCGCGAGTCGTCCCACAGTCCCGGTGGCCGTTCGTATTAAAAAGGGCGCTTTCACTTTTCCCTCGCGCCCTGATTTCCTTTTTTTCCTTCTCTTCGTTCCTTCTCGCGGAAGGTGCGGAAGTTCGTAGACTTTATCGTGACTTGGATTTAAACGAAGATAGAAAATTAAAAAAAAGAAAAAAAGAGAGAAGGACGATGTTCATATCTCTGTATCAAGAGTACGAAAGTCAGAATCAGTGCACGAGCGAGCTGCTGTTGATATTCCGGAGATGTCCTTGCTCGCCGAATTCAGGTTTGTGCGAAGCGAAATACAAACGCGAGGATATCGGTGATTCGAAAGTGACCGAAGATATGTTGTGTCCTGTATTTGTTGATGAGAATTGCGAGAGTTTGGTGATCGCCGCGGGGGAAAACGCGCGAGATGATGACAAAACGGTGTGTTGTCCTTTTCGCAGGGAATACGTTGGAAAAGGCGCTCAACAAGATCGGCCGCGAAGATATAGTGAACAAGTGTATCTTCAACGTCGAGCTGGTGACGGACGACGTGGAGAAGGCCGTTGCGCGGGTCAGATTAGATCAGCCCGGCTTCGACTCGCTGAAGGAGGAATTGGGCCCGTCGCGGAATACGTCGCTCCGTCGCGATGCAACGATGGACCCTAAGATGGATCCAGATTACGAAGAGCCTGACAGAATGAAGGTGTGTTTCATGCGAATCTAGAAAATTTCACGTGCCGTGTTCACCGTCGAGGTAGTCGTGCTGTGAAATCCCGGGAATATCGATGACGATATTAAAGAACTCTTGCATAAATTTATTATTTATTGAGAAAAAATATGCTTCCTTGTAACTTTGTTTAACTGCCTGAGTGGCAAATATTAATTTTGAGCGTGATGCATATAAATCGGGCATAGGAGCGGTTCAGCTGTGAAAAATAGCGAAGATGTAAAATCTGACTATAAATATCGAGACTTGAATCTTCGAGAATATCCCAGCAGAAGTTGGTCGACGTTTTTTCAAACGTGCTGTACAAATCACAGTTCAACTACAAATACCATCCGCATACCGTAGAGCGTCTACGGATAAAAACTTTTCTTTTTTTCACTTATCGGCTCTTCGTTAGCGTCGAGAATTATCATCGGGGCGCACACTTAAGTACGCATAGTGATGATAAAATTAGAGAGATACGATCCGTCCCCCGTGCGATATCTCCGGGCGGCTTTTTCGCATAAAGGAGGAGCCAGAAGCCGCCCCCTCTCTTAATACGTATCGGCAATTTGCTCGAATAACTGCGTTTCCGCGAGCGTGGGACTCTTGTAATTCTCGATTCTCTTTGTTCCAGGACTCCGAGTCGGTCGAGGATCTCAGTATCACCGGCAACGTGCACGACAAACGAAGTAAGTGTAACTCGGCTCTCCGTGTCGATGCAATTTTTTTTTTTTTCTTTCTTTCTTTTACTCGCTCTTGCATTGCGCTCTTGTATTGCGTACACGCGATTCGTCCGAACAAGGGAACTTTCTCAAAATTACACTGTATCTTCTTCGCCCCATCGTGCCGCAATATACGCATCTCTCGCAATGAGAACGTGTGACGCGTCACGGCTCGCAGCATTCGAATGAATGACACATACACGCCGAGACACACACAACGCGCTCTATTATTAGTAAGCAAATTGTGTGGACATACCACATATATACATCACACGTACCCACATATATATATATACACACATGTACATACGCATACCAATGCGCAAACCGTGCACCTTACTCGCGCTTACTTAGAAGGACACGTTAGTCAACGCTTGGTGTACGATATTTTTTACACAACGGCCACCTCTCTCTCTCTCTCTCTCTTTCTGCCCCCCGCATTCGTCTCACACGAATTCGTTGTCTCGCATCTCATCAACATTATCAACGTCATCGTCGTCGGTCGTTGTCTAAGCATCTCATGTTCTCCGTTACCGTTGCCGCTGGTCGTTTACACACATTTTCTGCACTTCACAGCCAAACAGCACATCACAATCACAAACGGCACTGTATTCAACGGAACCTCGACCCCCATCAAAGCCAAATACGCGAGCGACGAGAAAGAGCTCGGCGACATGATGGCCGATTATCTCACGCACAAGTGTCACGTGGCCGACACGATGAGCAAAAAAACGCGCGACGAACTGGACGATCCGGAGAAAAAGCGGCAGAAAGTGATCGCGGACGCCAACAAGATAGTATCTGGTAAGTGACACGAGTGTGCGCGCTTTCGCGGTAAACGGGAAATGGTGGGGTTGAGGGGCCGTGCTTCACTCTGCTGGCAGAGCAGGCGGCAGCCGTTAATCGATCCTAAGCGCGGAGCTACGTCGCCAAAGTAAAACCAAATAATTAATAATAATAATAATAATATGTTGTTAATCATAATAACGATGATGATGATGAAACAGACACACGGGACTGCTGCGCATTCGTTGTTTCCGGGGGTTTTTCTCGTCAGCATGACTGAACGTTGATATTAATGCTGCGGGCGCACGCTTCAGCCTAGAGGAGATCGATTTGTTACTCGATTATTATTAACCATCCGTCGGCGAACCGTTTCGCCGGCGCTGCCATTAGGACTCGCTATAATCGCAGCCGATTACTCACAACTCTCCCTCCCTCCCTCTCACCCCGGGCCCTCTCTCGGTGATATCGTGTTCATAGTTATGAGGAAATCCTCTCGTACGAACGCTTCGGTGTCGTGCGGAAAACTCCGTTGGAATGCGGCGGTCCCATTTCCCAGACACGATGACACCGAACATTTCCTCTAATCAGACGCCGTTTCCGGATATTCGTGCGTCATGATCGCTGCTTCGGGACGTCGACAGTCATCGGGCATGAATATTCGGGCGCAATTGGGTGTCTGATTAGGAATGTTTGATGTCGTTATACTTAAGGAATGGGACTCTGTTAGTCCGGTTTTATGATAAGAGCGAGTCATCAGCGCTAAAGTTATTATTCTTTAGTTTTTATCGCTCGTTGAATGTTTCGACGATGATAAAACGAGACTTTAGCGCTAATAGCGCGCTCCCCGAACGCGCTCTGAGTGCGGTGAGTCTTCATTCTTTTGCTCCGGGCAATAAAACGTAACGAATTTCCCGACGAAAGCTGTTTCTCGCGCTGCCAAAAGTTGTAGCAACGCTCGAGGCTCCTGCCGATTCGCTGTAACGTCCTTGTCTGACGACGCCGGAAGCGGATAGAACGCATGTCGAGAATTCTCACGTTTTGTGCTCAAATAAAAAGATACATCCACTAATTGACACTTGTGGTCGATTCGGCACACCTGTAAATAAAAACTTTTCCTTCACCCGAACGATCGATGAATAGTCGCAAAATTAACTTGACGCGGAACCTCCCTTTCCAACCTCTTTTTCTCACAATTCTGTCGGTATTTTGCAACTTTACAATTGTGCTGAATCGATCACAAACGTCACTTCGTGGGCGTATATTTTCTCATTTGAATTGTAGAACGTAAAGAATTCACGGCATCCGTTTTCACGCTTCTGACGTCATCAAATGAGGACGGCTGCGGGTCTTATCAGGAGCCTTAAATCTCAATAACTGCGATGTCCGATAGCGCTGGAAACGTTTTTTTGTTGGAAATTACGTTATACTTTAATGCTTCGAGCAAAAGGTTAAAGATCTACTGTATCCATCGTAGACCCGGTCGATCAAACGAAGTCTTCTGTACGGTTCCCCCTCTCTTTTCGAGGAGCTTCGTGCGTTTTTTCGCGCTCTGAAGCGTTGTTTGTTGCCTTGATACTGAACAACGCATTACTTCATTACGTTATTAGAGATAATTGCTTATACGTAACTTACTCGAGAAACAGCGAATACCGCCGTGTCGGGCTACCTCGTCACGAACGGCGGAATGAACGAATGTGTAATTGCTCGTTTAACGATTCAGTGATTATCTTAACAGATAGTATATATACAGTGTTTGCCTCAGATTTGTCATTTAGATTTGCTATTTAGATGATTTCAAATTCATCTAAACGAAGATGAGATGAAAATCTGAAAAATGCGTCTTAGATGAGTTGAAGATGATTTTGCTTTTAATTTATCTAAGTGAAAAATGAGATAAGTAACGCTACGTATCTGGATAATTTTTTAGATGATAGTGTTTTCATGAGACTTTATAAGAATTTATAATAAAAATTACGCAGATCCCATATTTCTCCCATCTAGATAGATAAAGACGATCTATTTATTCATATGGATGATTATTTAGATAATTGTATCTAGATACCGGCAAACACTGTTTATACATTACAAAGAATCTCGCGAAAAGAGAGACGTGGATTTCAGTGCCGACGGTTGAATTCGATGAAACACGTTATTTAATAACGTAGAGTCCAAGTAACGCCTCTCACCGTCGTAAAGAACAACGGACTTTCTTTGGTTCTCATGTAAGTATGCATCGTCGGATCGACGGTGGTGCGTGCGCACGATTTCATTTCCAGGCGGATATCCATACGCGCTCAGTCGAGTCGATCCTATCCTTGCTGACTAGAGAACCGTTGTTGTTATTGTTGTCGCTGTTGTTGTTTATCATAGTGGCACAATGATTCTGGACACGATTCACGATTCAGTGCAAACAATAAAAAAACCCATCATCATCATCTCGGCTTACGAACGTAAACGGACGTGCGTTTCGCAATAGCGCGAACGACGTGCGTGTGCACTAAACTGCGTTCTTTTTTTTTTTTTACCTCTGCGTCTCATCTTGTTACTTCCACTCACAGGTTCTGGAGGCCGAACCGTCTGCGGATTCTCTTCAATAATTATTTACCTCAGCTTGCTTTAATTTTTAATATGTAACGGATTATTTACATTTCGCCTGTCGAAGCAGCTCTCTCTCTCTCTCTCTCTCACATCTCCACTTGTATATTATACAATAATTTTGGTATCTCATTTTTAATCTCTCTCTCTCACCGCCCCGCCGTCCCACTAATGTCCCCCTGTTGTTCTGCCGACACTTTCGATTAATTTGTTTCAGCAGGGTTTTCGCTGCAATTATTTGGCGTTGCATGAGCGGCCGATATGTGTGGCCTAATTGTGTGCGCGCACGGAGCAGCTGTCATTAAAAAGAAAGAAAAAGAAGTCAGAAAAAGATACCAGATCACTCAGACATCGTCGTGCCATCCGAATCGTTTCATTATCGCCGGGATAGAGCTCGGTAGATCGTCAAAAACGAATAACACAGAGAGCGAACGAGTCACATCGCTAAACGGAGCGTAAAGTAATCGAATGCGGTACTCCCGAGCGAGCGACAGTAATCGGAGAATTTCCTCTCTTTCTTTTTTTTCTTTTTCCACTTCGTGAAGAAATTACGCGACAACGTGATACCGATATCGAGATGTGAACACGCTCGCGCCGCTCCACTTAGTCTCTAATAGCCTCATTTTCGTTTTCCGGGCACCTTCAGCCATTCATTCATACTTCTCTTAACGGTTCACAGTTCGAGATACGATATACTAATCGAGACACGCTTACTGCCCGTGAGCTATTTCGAATTTCCGGAATTGCAAGCTACTGCGAAGGTTCCGAGGTGCGCGAACGAGAGAGTCCGCGTTGCCACGATTCGTGACGCCGATTGCGTGACACGCGTGTACGTACACTCCCGATGTTCACTTCTCCTTCTTGATTGTCGTACTCTTGATTGACTCTTGAATTCTGCTGTACGTTGAGCAATATATTCGGAAACCTCTCGATGATCGATGATTACGTAGTGAGAAGATGGCTGCTCCACAGCACATACACTCCACGCACAATATATATATATACCACACTCTCTACTCAGTCTAACCGCAGTTTCAATCAAAGAGCAATGTCGAGCGAGCCAGCTTACACTAATGATGACGAAATTGATTAATAAGAGAAAAAAAAAAACAAAACTGTGTTCCTTTATCATCTGCCACGTATACACGTATGCCTAAATTATATGATACTTAATTAACAGGTGTAATAGCAGACGCTGAGAAAGAGAAGGGGAAGTTAGCGATGGAAGGGTGGTCGGTGGTTTGTGATGACGATGATGATGCGCGGGACGGTAAAGAGGCGCGGGGTGCGGTAGGACAGACGGTAATTAACGTACGTTTAGACAGAGAGGCGGCCGCCGAGCCGGAGGGTATAGTGCCGGTCGCCAAGGGCGTGGTCCCGATGAAACCCGAGCAAACGCCGCCGTCCATTGAGCCGCCGATGGTCAGGCAGTATCGCGACGTTAAGCCGGAGCCCGCCAGGGTTAGTTCTTCGAGAACCGTAGTTTCCGTTAGCGGTGATCCGGAAGTAGGTAGTCAGACGAGGGTAGTCAAGACCACGGTGACCACGGTGGTGGTTTCCCCGGACAGAAGAGGAGACGTCGTCAGCGAGAAGGAGAAGCTCTCGAAGGAGGGCAAGGAGGTGGACGAGAAGTCTGCGGACGCGAAGGCTCCCGCGGAGATAGCCGATAAGGAGAGGATGAAAGAGAAGGAAAGGAAGCCGGAGGTGAGAGCTCCCGTCGAGAAGGAGAAGGATAAACCGGAGAAGTCGGCGTACGAGGACGTTTACAACGCGCAGCAGCCCGCGGAGGAGAAGGCGCCGGACGACGAGGCGAAGAAGTCGAAGGACAGAGGCAGCGGTATCTTCTCGGGCATCTTCAAGGGCGCGAAGCTGAAGAAGGGCAAGAAGGGCTCGAAGGACACGTCCTTCGACAGCGGCGACGAGGAGCCGAGGACCGTCGCGGCGAAGGCTCCGTCGGAGCAACAGACGGAGCAGCGGCCTCAACCTGCCGAGAAGATGGCCGACTCCCGTTTCGACAGCGTGCTGCCGGAGATCATGGTGGCGCCGGACGTGAAGTCGGCGACCGTGGATTTCCTGGACGACTCGAGGCGAGTCGCCGCGGGCATGCACGCGCCTTACGAGGGTCTGACTAAAGCCGAGGACGCCGCCGAGGCGGCGAGCTCCGACGGCGAGGACAAGACCGGCTTCTTCTCGAGCCTGTTCAAGAGCAGCAGCAAGCCGTCGAAGAAGGACGAGACCGCGGACGGCGGCATGGTGATACCGGTGATTCACGTGGAGAAACCGAAGGAGACCGCCGAGCAGATCGCGAAGAAGGAGAGGAAGAGGCTGGCGGCGCTCGCGAAGGAGAGGGAGGAGCTTCTCGAGCAGCAGATGAAGGAGAAGGCGAAAGAGGAGGAGGAAGCGGCGGCGGGCAAGCTCGCGGCCGTCGAGAAAGCCCTGAAGAACGGCACGAAGCCGGCGGTCGAAGACGACGCGAGGAAGGCCGCCACGGCGGACGAGCCGACGCACGGCAAGGACGACGAGAGGGACGAGGAGCAGCAGGCGAGGGAGAAGGGCGGCTTCTTCGGCATCTTCAGGAGTCCGAAGTCCAAGGAGAAGCGGCTCGGCAAGTCGAAGGAGACGACGTCCTTCGACAGCGGCGACGAGGAGATCCGGCTGGTCACGGAGAAACTGCTGGACGACACTCGGAAGATCGCCGGCGAGCAGCCGATCGCGCGCAAGACGGACGACGTCAAGGCCGCCGCTCCGGACGAAGAGGTGCGCACCTTCGTCTCGGCCGCGCTCTACGAGGCCGACACGCCGGCCGACAAGATCGGCAAGTCCTACGACGTCGTTCAGACGAGGACGACGATCGAGAGGAGCGTCATTCACGAGGAGGTGAACGGGAAAGCGGACCTCGTCGGCAGGGAGAAGGAGCGGAAGAAGCCGGACGTTGAGAAAGCCGCCCCTGAGGTGAAGCCGGAAGCCACGGAGCCGAAGGCTCCGGAGGCCGCGGAAGAGAAGGAGGCGGCCGACGGTGAGGCCGGTAGGGAGAAGAGCGGCGGCTTCTTCGGCATGTTCAAGAGCCCGAAGCTGAAGAGCAAGAAGCGCAGCCGGTCCCGCGAGCAGAGCTCCTCGAAGGAGACCTCCTTCGACAGCGGGGACGAGGAGGTCCGCTTGGCGACGGCGAAGCTGCTGGAGGACACGAGGCAGATGGCGGAGGGCAGCGCGCAGCCCGGGGAGAAGCTGCCGGAGCAAGAGGTGAGCGCGAACACCGCCGTCGAGCAGATCAAGAGGGACGAGATGAAGAGGACGACCACCGGCATCCCCGAGGACGAGGCGGCGGCGGTCGAGAAAGGCGGCGGCATCTTCGGTATATTCAGGAGCCCCAAGCAAGCGAGGAGCTCCAGGAGCAGATCCAAGGAGAAGACCCCGTCGCTCGAGCTGCCGACGGATAGCGGCCAGGAAGACCTGCGGGAGATGACGGCCAAGTTCCTGCAGGATTCGCGCAACGTCGCGATGACGACCGGCGGGACGGCTGAGCTGCCGGAGCAGCAGCCGAGACCGGACGACAGGTTGATCGCAGAGGTGGGGAAGGTCGAGCGGCAGGTCGCGGCGGAGGACGTCGGGAAAGCCGTCAGGGACGGCAAGCCGGAGGAGAAGACGTCGGAAGTCGCCGACGAGGCCGCGAGGGACAAGGCGGGCAAGGAGGCGAAGAGAGCGAAGGAGAAGGGCTCGGGCTTCTTATCCGGCATCTTCAAGGGCGCGAAACACGCCATGGAGGAGGTGACGGACGACGTGAAGGAGTTCCTGGACGAGACGAGGAAGGAGGCCGCCTTGGAAGAGGCGCGGGCGAAGGAAGCGGCAGCCGCCGGCTCGAAGGAGCTGGAGCGGAGGAAGGACGCCGCGGTGGCTGACGCGAAGGACGCCGCCGACAAAGCGGCGGCGGAAGCGAAGGTGAAGAAAGAGAAAGCCGCGGAGAAGGTGGCGGATCTCGCGAGAGCCGCGGCCGCCGACGAGGCGGACGCGAGGAAGGTCGGCGAGAAGGTGGAGGCAACCGCGAAGGACGCGGCGCAGGCCGGCAGGGACGTTGAAGAAGCTGTCGCTGCGGAGGCGAAGGAAGACGCGAAGCTGGTGAAGGAGAAGATAACGTCCGCCGCTGATGCCGCCGCGGACACCGCAGTGGCTGCCAAGGACAAGGCCGTGAAGGAGGGGAAGAAGGCGAAGGAGAAGGGCAGCGGATTCTTCTCCGGGATATTCAAGGGCGCGAAACACAGCGTGGAGGAAGCGACCGACGACGCGAAGGAGTTCCTGGATGAGACGAAGAAGGAGGCTCAGCTGGAGGAGCAGCGGGCTAAGGAAAAGACTGCTGCTGGTCTTAAGGACTTGAAGGAGAAGAAGGACGCCATTGTGAGCGGAGTTCAGGAAGCTGCTGACAAAGCCGTTTCCGACGCCAAGGACGCCAAGGACAAAACAGTCTCCGCAGTTAAAGACAAGAAGGATAAGATCGCGGAGGAAGCGTCGAAGGACGCGCGGAAAGTCGTCGACGCCACGAAGGCGGCCGGTGAGAAAGTGACCGAAGAAGCGAAGAAAGTCGATGAGAAGATCAGCGCGACCGCCGCTGACGTGGCTCAAGCAGTTAAGGACACCAAGGATGCGGCGGTTAAGGAGGTGAAGGAAGACGCGAAATTAGCGAAAGAGAAATTAGCTGCGGGCGCTGAGGCCGTCGCGGAATCCGCGGAGGCTGCCAAGGACAAGGCAGGCAAGGAGGCGAAGAAGGCTAAGGAGAAGACGAGTGGCTTCTTCTCCGGGATATTTAAAGGTGCTAAGCATGCCGTGGAGGATGCAGCTGATGACGCGAAGGAGTTCGCGGACGAGACGAAGAAGGAGGCTCAACTGGAGGAGGAGCGCGCCAAGGAAAAGGCCGCCGCGGGTCTGAAGGATCTGAAAGATAAAAAGGACGCCGTCGTTATCGGGGCTCAGGAAGCAGTCGAAAAAGTAGCAGCTGACGTGAAAGACGCCAAGGATAAGACGGTGTCTGCTGTGAAGGACAAGAAGGATAAAATCGTGGAAGAGGTCTCGAAGGACGCTCAGAGAGTCACCGACACCACGAAGGCGGCCGGAGAGAAAGTCGTGACGGAGACCAAGAAGGTCGGTGAAAAGGTGGGAGCAGCTGCGGCAGACGTCGCCCAGGGCGTCAAGGATGCCAAGGATGCTACGGTGAAGGAAGTGAAGGAAGACACGAAAGTGGTGAAGGAGAAATTAGCAGCTGGCGCCGAGGCTGTGGCAGAAACTGCGGAGGGAGCGAAAGACAAAGCGACCAAGGAGGCGAAGAAAGCCAAGGAGAAGACCAGTGGTTTCTTCTCGGGAATTTTCAAGGGCGCGAAGCACGCCGTGGAAGACACAGCCGACGATGTCAAGGAATTCCTCGACGAGACGAAGAAGGAAGCTGCGCTGGAGGGAGAGCGTGCCAAGGAGAAGGTCTCTGCCGGAGTGAAGGACCTGAAGGACAAGAAAGACGTCGTTGTCACTGGAGCTCAGGAGGCCGCCGACAAGGCAGTTGCCGACGCGAAGGACGCCAAGGACAAAGCGGTGTTCGCTGTTAAAGACAAGAAGGACAAAGTTGCCGAGGAGGTGTCGAAAGACGCGCAGAAAGTCGTCGACATCACGAAGGCGGCCGGTGAGAAAGTGACGGGAGAAGCGAAGAAAGTCGATGAGAAGATCAGCGCGACCGCCGCTGACGTGGCTCAAGCAGTTAAGGACACCAAGGATGCGGCGGTGAAAGAGGCGAAGGAAGACGCAAAATTGGCGAAGGAAAAAATAGCGGCGGGCGCTGAGGCCGTCGCGGAATCCGCGGAGGCTGCCAAAGACAAGGCTGGCAAGGAGGCAAAGAAGGCCAAAGAAAAAACGAGCGGCTTCTTCTCCGGGATATTCAAAGGTGCTAAACACGCCGTGGAGGATGTGGCGGGCGACGTGAAGGAATTCGTGGACGAGACGAAGAAAGAGGCTCAACTGGAAGAGGAGCGTGCCAAGGAGAAGGCCGCTGCGGGTTTCAAGGATCTAAAGGATAAGAAGGACGCCGCCGTTACCGGAGCTCAGGAAGCAGTCGAAAAAGTAGCAGCTGACGTGAAAGACGCCAAGGACAAGGCGGCGTCTGCTGTGAAGGACAAGAAGGACAAAGTCGCGGAAGAAGTCTCGAAGGACAGCCAGAGAGTCGCCGACAGCGCGAGGACGGCCGGAGAGAAAGTCGCTACGGAGACGAAGAAGGTCGGTGAGAAGATAGGATCAGCTGCGGCGGACGTCGCTCAAGGGGTCAAGGACGCCAAGGACGCGACGGTGAAGGAAGTGAAGGAAGACACCAAGTTGGCGAAGGAGAAATTGGCCGCCGGCGCCGAAGCAGTCGCGGAATCCGCGGAGGCTGCCAAGGACAAGGCAGGCAAGGAGGCGAAGAAAGCCAAGGAGAAGACGAGCGGCTTCTTCTCCGGGATATTCAAAGGAGCGAAACACGCGGCGGAAGACACAGCCGACGATGTCAAGGAATTCGTGGACGAGACGAAGAAGGAGGCTGCGCTGGAGGAAGAGCGTGCCAAGGATAAGGTCGCTGCCGGAGTGAAGGACCTGAAGGACAAGAAGGACGCCGTCGTCGCCGGAGCTCAGGAGGCCGTCGACAAGGCAGTTGCGGGCGCGAAGGACGCCAAGGACGAAACAGTCTCCGCCGTGAAGGAGAAGAAAGAAAAGATCGCGGAGGAGATCTCGAAGGGTGCTGAAAAGGTAGCCGACGGCACGAAGGCGGCTGGCGAAAAGGTAGCCTCGACTGCCGCGGACGTTGCGCAGGGCGTTAAGGACACGAAGGAAGCGGCCGTTAAGGAAATCAAGGAAGACGCGAAATTGGCGAGGGAGAAACTCGCGGCTGCCGGCGACGCCGTTGCGGAGGCCGCGGATGGCGCGAAGGACAAGGCGAAGAAAGCCAGAGAAAAGGGATCGGGCTTCTTCTCCGGCATCTTCAAGGGCGCGAAGCACGCCGCCGAGGATACGGCCGAGGACGTCAAGGAACACGTGAGCGATGCGAGGAAGGAAGCTGCGGAGGCGTCGGAGGACTTGAAACGCAAGAAGGACGACGTGGTAGCTAGCGTCAGAGACGTCGCGGACAAGGCGGTCGAAGGTGCGAAGGACACGAAGGACAAAGTCGCGGACGCAGCGGCTAGGGACGCGGAGAAGATATCTGATACCTTGAAGGCAGTCGGCGACGACGTCTCCGCGAAGACGAAGGACATCGGACGGGAGGCGGAGGCTACCGCGGCTGACGTCGGACGTGGTGCGAGGGACGTCAAGGATGCGGTGATTGCGGAAGCGAAGCACGAAGCCTGGGTCGCGAGGGAGAGATTGGCCGGCGGGATTGAGTCCGTCGCGGACACTGCGGAGGCTGCGAGGGACAAGGCGGCGAAGGAAGCGAAGAAGGCCAAGGAGAAGGGCAGTGGCTTCCTTTCCGGGATATTCAAAGGATCGAAGCACTCGGTGGACAGCGCGGCGGAGGACACGAGGGAGTTCCTGGAGGAGACGAGGAAGGAGGCCGCGTCGGAGCAGGCGCGAGTCAGGGAAGCGACAGAGGCCGAGCTGAAGGACCTCGAGCGCAGGAAGGACGGCACCGTGGCCGAGGCGAGGGAAGCGAAGGACCGTGCGGCCGAGAAGGTGAGCGAGCGAGCCGCCGACGCGGCCAGGGTGGCGGGAGAGAGGACGGTCGCCGAGACGAAGCGAGTCGCCGGCGATGTCGCGCAGGGAATCGCGGAGACTAAGGACAGCGTGACGAAGGAGCTGAAGGAGGACGCGCAGGCGGTGAAGGACAAAGTCAAGGCGGCCGGCGAGGCAGTGGCGGAGAGCGCGGCGGCTACGAAGGACAAGGCGGCGAAAGAGGCGAGGAAGGCCAAGGAGAAAGGCAGCGGTTTCCTCTCGGGGATATTCAAGAGCGCGAAGCACACCGCGGAGGAAGTGTCGGACGACGCGAAGGAATTCGCGGACGAGACGAGGAGGGAAGCCGCGGCGGAGGAAGAGCGCGCCAAGAAGAAAGTCGCCGGAGGTCTCAGGGATCTAAAGGATAAGAAGGACGCCGCCGTTACCGGAGCTCAGGAAGCTGCCGAAAAAGTAGCAGCTGACGTGAAAGAGGCCAAGGACAAGGCGGTGTCTGCCGTGAAGGACAAGAAGGACAAAATCGCGGAAGAAGTCTCGAAGGACGCCCAGAGTGTCGCCGACAGCGCGAAGGCGGCCGGAGAGAAAGTCGCGACGGAAACCAAGAAGGTCGGTGAAAAGGTGGGAGTAGCTGCGGCGGACGTCACTCAAGGAGTCAAGGACGCCAAGGATGCGACAGTGAAGGAAGTGAAGGAAGACACGAAAGTGGTGAAGGAGAAATTAACCGCCGGCGCTGAGACTGTGGTAGAAATCGCGGAGGGAGCGAAGGATAAAGCTGGCAAGGAGGCGAAAAAGGCCAAGGAGAAGACCAGTGGTTTCTTCTCCGGGATATTCAAGGGCGCGAAACACGCCGTGGAAGACGCATCCGACGACGTCAAGGAATTTTTGGACGAGACGAGGAAGGAGGCCCAGCTGGAGGAGGAGCGGGCTAAGGAAAAGGCTGCTGCCGGTCTCAAGGACTTGAAGGAGAAGAAGGACGCCGTTGTGAGCGGAGTTCAGGAAGCTGCTGACAAAGCTGTTTCCGACGCCAAAGAGGCAAAGGACAGAGCAGTGTCTGCCGTTAAAGACAAGAAGGACAAGGTCGCCGAGGAAGTGTCGAAGGACGCGCAGAGAGTCACCGACACCACGAAGGCCGTCGGTGAAAAAGTGGAGGAAGGAACGAAGAAAGTCGGTGAGAAAATCAGCGCGACCATCACGGACGTGGCTCAGGGAGCTAAGGACACCAAGGATGCGGCGGTTAAGGAGGTGAAGGAAGACGTGAAATTAGCGAAAGAGAAATTAGCTGCGGGTGCTGAAGCCGTCGCGGAATCCGCGGAGGCTGCCAAGGACAAGGCAGGCAAGGAGGCAAAGAAGGCTAAGGAGAAGACGAGTGGCTTTTTCTCCGGGATATTCAAAGGTGCTAAGCATGCCGTGGAGGATGCAGCTGATGACGCGAAGGAGTTCGCGGACGAGGCGAAGAAGGAGGCTCAACTGGAGGAGGAGCGTGCCAAGGAAAAGGCCGCCGCGGGTCTCAAGGATCTGAAAGATAAAAAGGACGCCGTAGTTACCGGGGCTCAGGAAGCAGTCGAAAAAGTAGCAGCTGACGTGAAAGACGCCAAGGATAAGACGGTGTCTGCTGTGAAGGACACGAAGGATAAAGTCATGGAAGAGGTCTCGAAGGACGCTCAGAGAGTCGCCGACACCACGAAGGCGGCCGGAGAGAAAGTTGTGACGGAGACCAAGAAGGTCGGTGAAAAGGTGGGAGCAGCTGCGGCAGACGTCGCCCAGGGCGTCAAGGATGCCAAGGATGCTACGGTGAAGGAAGTGAAGGAAGACACGAAAGTGGTGAAGGAGAAATTAGCAGCTGGCGCCGAGGCTGTGGCAGAAACTGCGGAGGGAGCGAAAGACAAAGCGACCAAGGAGGCGAAGAAAACCAAGGAGAAGACCAGTGGTTTCTTCTCGGGAATTTTCAAGGGCGCGAAGCACGCCGTGGAAGACACAGCCGACGATGTCAAGGAATTCCTCGACGAGACGAAGAAGGAAGCTGCGCTGGAGGAAGAGCGTGCCAAGGAGAAGGTCTCTGCCGGAGTGAAGGACCTGAAGGACAAGAAAGACGCCGTTGTCACTGGAGCGCAGGAGGCCGCCGACAAGGCAATTGCCGACGCGAAGGACGCCAAGGACAAAGCGGTGTCCGCTGTTAAAGACAAGAAGGATAAGGTCGCCGAGGAGGTGTCGAAGGACGCGCAGAAAGTCGTCGACATCACGAAAGCGGCCGGTGAGAAAGTAGCGGAAGAGACGAAGAAGATCGGCGAGAAAATCAGCGCGTCCGCCATGGACGTGGCTCAGGGAGCTAAGGACACTAAAGATGCGCTAGTGAAAGAGGCGAAGGAAGACGCAAAATTAGCGAAGGAAAAAATAGCCGCGGGCGCTGAGGCCGTCACGGAATCCGCGGAGGCTGCCAAAGACAAGGCTGGCAAGGAGGCAAAGAAAGCCAAAGAAAAGACGAGCGGCTTCTTCTCCGGCATATTCAAGGGCGCGAAACACACGGCGGAGGACATGGCTGACGACGCGAAGGAGCTCGCGGAGGACGTGAAGGAGGGAGCGGTCGCCGAAGGGGAACGCGCGAGGGCATCCGCGGAATCCGGTCTGACGGATCTGAAGGACAAGCGGGACGGCGCGATCAGCAGCGTGAAGGTGGCGAAGGACGACGTCGGAGCGGCTGTCAAGGGCGCGTCGTTTAAGGCGGCGGAAGAATTATCTGACGGTGTCCGCAGGGCCGTCGACGGCGCGAGAGACGCGGCCGAGGAGACCACCATGTCGGCTCGACGAGGTTTCATCGCGGAAGACGTCGTCGAGGACGCGAAGGATGCGATCGCGAAGGAGGTGAAAGAGGACGCACAGGCGGCGAAGGACCAAGCCTCGAAAGAAGCGAAGAAGGCGAAGGACAAGGGCAGCGGCTTCCTCTCGGGGATGTTCAAGGGCGCGAAGCAGGGCGCCGAGGGCGCGACCGACGACCTGAGTAGATTCCTCGACGAAATGCGGATGGACGCGTCGACAGGGACCGCGGCCGAGGGTCTGAAGGACCTCGATCATAAGAAAGACGCCGTCATGGCGAGTGCCGCGAAGGATGCCGAGGACAAGACGGCAGCTGCGAGAGATGCGAAGGATAAGATCGCGCAGAAGGTGGCGTTCGAAGAGGTCGACAGAGCCGTCGTCGACGCGACGGTGAAGGCCGGAGCGAGGGAGGTTGGCGAGAAGATTGACTCGGCGGCGCGCGGGGGAGTCGCCAAGGACGCGGTCGTCAAGGAGGCGCGGGACGACGCGAAGATGGCGAGAGAAAAAATAGCTGGCGTCGAAGGTGCGGCCGAGGACGCTGCTAGGGACAAAGCGAGCAAGGAAGCGAGGAAAGCTAAGGAGAAGGGATCCGGCTTTTTGTCGGGCATCTTCAAGGGCGCGAAGCACGTCGTGGAAGATGCCACGGACGACGTGAAGGAGTTCCTGGACGAGACGAAGAGGGAGGCTCAGTTGGAGGAGCAACGTGCCAAGGAAAAGGCCGCTGCCGGTGTGAAGGATCTGAAGGATAAGAAGGATGCTGTCGTCGCCGGGGTGCAAAGGACCGCGGAGAGAACTGCCGTCGAGACAGATGCCGCTGTGAAAGAGAAGAAGGACAAGGTCGCCGAGGAAGTGTCCAAGGACGCGCGGAAGGTCGCCGACGCCGCGAAGGCGGCCGGTGACAAGGTGGCGGAGGAGACGAAGAAGATCGGCGCGACCGCCGCGGACGCCAAGGAGGCTGCCGTGAAGGAAGTTAAGGACGACGCGAAGCTGCTGAAAGAGAAATTGGCGGCGGGATCAGCAGCTGTGACGGACAGCGCCGAGGCAGCCAAGGACAAGGCGGTCGAGGAGGCGAAGAGAGCTAAGGAGAAGGGATCCGGCTTCCTGTCGGGCATATTTAAAGGCGCGAAACACGGTGTGGAAGAAGCGACCGACGGCGCGAAGGAGTTCCTGGCCGAGACGAAGAAGGAGGCTCAGCTGGAGGAGCAGCGGGCTAAGGAAAAGGCTGCTGCCGGTCTCAAGGACTTGAAGGACAAGAAGGACGCTGTCGTGAGCGGAGTTGAGGAAGCTGCTGACAAAGCCGTTTCCGACGCCAAGGACTCCAAGGACAAAGCAGTCTCCGCTGTTAAAGACAAGAAGGTTAAGATCGCGGAGGAGGTGTCCAAAGACGCGCAGAGGGTCGCCGACGGCGCGAAGGCGGCCGGTGAGAAAGTGGCGGAGGGGACGAAGAGAGTTGGTGAGAAAATCGGCGCGACTGCGGCGGTGAAGGAAGTTGAGGAAGACGCGAGGCTGGCGAGGGACAAATTGGCGGCTGGATCCGCAGCAGTGGCGGACGGTGCCGAGGCGGCTAAGGACAAGGCGGCGAAGGATGCGAAGAAAGCGAAAGAAAAGGGTTCCGGCTTTCTGTCGGGCATAGTAAAGGGCGCGAAGCACGCGGTCGAGAGCGCGAAGGGCGACGTCAAGGAGTTCCTGGACGAGATGAAGCACGAAGCTGAAGTGGAGGAAATTTGCGCCAAGGATGCGGCGACGGCCGGCATGAAGGAGTTGAAGGACAAGAAAGACGCTGTTGTCAGCGGCGCGAAGGACGCGACCGATCGGACAGCCGCCGAAGTGAAGGAAGCCAGGGACAAGACCGTGGCGGCTGCGAAAGACACGAAGGTCGCCGAGAAGGTGTCCGAGGACCTGGACAAAGCTGCCGACGCGGCCAAGGCGGCCAGGGGCAAGGTGACATCGGGCGCGAAGGAAGTCGGCGAGAAGGTGGAGTCCGCGACGCGCGACATTGCGCAGGGCGCCAAGAACGTGAAGGACGCGACGGTGAAGGAAGTCGAGGAAGACGCGAGGCTGGCGAAGGAGAAATTGACGGACGGTGCCGAGGCGGCTAAGGACAAGGCGGCGAAGGAGGCGAAGAAAGCGAAAGAAAAGGGTGCCGGCTTTCTGTCGGGCATAGTAAAGGGCGCGAAGCACGCGGTCGAGAGCGCGAAGAGCGACGTCAAGGAGTTCCTGGACGAGACGAAGCACGAGGCTGAAGTGAAGGAAGTTCGTGCCAAGGAGAGGGCGGCGGCCGGTCTCAGGGAGCTGAAGGACAAAAAGGACGGCGTAACGGCCGACGTGAAGGACGCCAAGGACAAGGTCGCGAAAGAGACAGGCAAGACTGCGGCCGCGACGAGGGACGCGGTGGAGGAGCTGGCGAGCGAGAGCAGGAGGAAGGTCGGCGAGGAGATCGAGGCGGACGCGAAGGCGGTGAAGGAGAAGTTGGCGAGGGACGCTCGGAAGACGAAGGATTCCGGCTCGGACCTTCTCTCTGAAATGGCCGAAGACGCGAAACGAGCGAAGCAGGACGTCGGCAGCGACGTGAAGGACTTCCTGGAGATGGCGAGGCAAGAAGCGGCGGTCGAGGAGGCTCTCGCGAGGGAGGCCGCCGCGGCGAGACTGGAGGAGCTCGAGCGAGCCAAGGACAGGGCGGTCGACGAGGCGAAGTCATCCGCGGCGAAAGCCGCCAAGAGCAAGACGGTTTCCGGCTTGAAGAGTGCGACCGGCAAGGCCGTCGGCGAGGTTTCCGGCGCTGCGAAGGCGAAGTCATCCGCCGGGCAAGACGCGACGCAGAAGGCTAAGCGCACCAAGAGTGACGCCGTGGCGAGCGAAGCGAGGAGCGAGACGCGAGTCGTCAAGGAGAAATTGACGACGGCTGGCGGCGAGGACGCGAAGGACGCGAAGAAAGCGAGGCAGAAGGCCGGCGGCTTCCTGTCGGGAGTGGTGAAGAGCGCCAGGAGCGTGGTAGAGGGCGCGACCGACGACATGCGGGAGTTCCTGCAGGAGACGAAGCAGGAAGCGGAGGAGGCTCGCGCGAAGGGCGGCAGGTCGAACGGCGGCGCGAAGGACGGCAAGAGGAAGGCCGTCCCGAGAGCCGTCGTCACCAAGAGCGAGAGCAGCGCGAGATCGTCGACGTCGTCGTTGTCTTCGTCGTCGTCGGTGACGACGATCACGGAACTGCGCGCAGCAGGTGGCCACCGCGAGGTCACGCCCGTTCAGGACGCCGGCTCCGGCGACGCCGAGCATTTATCCGAGTCAGTTAGGGTTAAGAGAGTATCTCGCATTCCACAAAAGGTTAGTCCGGGTAAGGAGGTCGCGTCGGAGGTCGATCCCGCTAGGTTAGAGGCAGTATCCGCTGCGGTAGGGCACCCCGAGCCTCACACACGGCACACCGTCACCACTGTCGTGACAAAGTCTGTGCGAACGACCCCACCACCACCCGGTCTCGCCGAGTTCAGTGACAGTAGAACCGAAGGTATCTTGCAATAATTGCGTTATCCATATCTCTCTCTCTCTCTCTACATATACATACATACATATATATATATATATTACATCACCAGCTGTGTGTAACATAATACAATTAATGATTCAGTTGAACGCTTCTCTATATAACTTGAGTTTCTTTCCTTTTGACGAGTTATTTTTTTTTTTTGCCACTTCTCGTGACATCGGAGAGAGAATAAGTTTCATTTTTTTTTTGCACCTCGTTTAATCGAAAGTCTAACCAGAAACCACCTATCTAATCTGACCGGTCATTTTCCAGTTCACTAATGCCGTGCCCTGCGACGTCTCCTCGAGCCGATCGAGGGGAGGACACACAAGATTCATACTCCACCGCTTGTTCCTGTCTCAGTCTTAGTATTGTTTTCCGATTTCTTTGCGATTTCACACACACCGTGTGTATGTGTGTGTGTGTGTGTGTGTGTGCGTAGGTGTGCGTCGAATGGGTATATTGTCCATCGGAACGAAAGGATTTTTTTTCTTATTACGATAATACAATCATGTTCTCTCATTTATCATTTACTTGTTAAGATGAAATAATCAGGAACAACTTGTTGCAGTATGAAGATTCAAAGAGACATTCTAATCTCGCTCTTTCTCTCTCTATCTCTCTCTCTCTCTCTCTCTATCTCTTCCTCGCTACACGAAGAGAGGAACATTAACGACATACCTGTGCACTGGGTTGATTTATTTTGCTATACTTCTGTATTTTCAGTTTTCCATTCTTAATTCCGATAATTTCACTCGGCATAATAACACCCGTCTGATGCATGATTCCAGGTTCTTTTGCGCTGTTTTTCACGCGTCTCAACGCACGTGATTAATTTCCCCGGTTTCTCGTGTCCGGGAGCGCCGGAAACCTTTCTTCTTTTTGTTCTTTCGTTTTACCTCGTAAATACATATAAAAAGAGTATACATATACGTATATATGTATACATATAATTTCGCCATAACCATGTGTCTCTCTCTCTCTCTCTCTCTTTCGTTTATAGCATAACATTATAGAGATCACGTATTACGATTATGCGGTAATATGTCTCATTGAATTAACAGGAGTACCCGCAACTAGCGAAGCATGAACCGAGGTATGCCATGCAGGGACAAACATCATTCATCTAATCTTTGTTGAATCATTGCTTTCAATGTACGAATTGCCGATACCCGATGTAAACTCAATTTGCGACCCTGTGACCTTTCAGACGTGACCGAGGAGGCTGCGAAGCGGGCGCAGGACCTGGCGAGCGAGCGGGCCCACACGACGAGCAAAGCAGGTAACGTAACTTGACTCGAGTAAAAAAAAAAAGAGAAACCGTAAAAGAAAAACAGCAACGACAAAAACGAGCGAATGTAAAGAAACTTCACGTTATTAAGAAACCGCGAATCACACCATCCGGTTCTCTCTTTCTCTCTTTGTCTCTGTCTATCTCTCTCTCTCTATCTATCTATCTTTCTCTCTCTCTCTCTTTTTCAAAAGAAATCAGTACGGTAGCAGACTCTGTTTTTGGTGCCCTCATTTATATTTAGCTTTATCTTCCATAGTTAGCACCTGCCGATGCTTTCACACTAACTGATACTGTGCGCACGTCTCTTACTAAATAGTTACCGATATCTCTTCTCTCCATCACCGATATATATATATATATATATATATATATCGGTATATGTATATATACATACATATTATATATTTCTGTCCATATATATATATATATCGCCCGCGCGATGAGAAGAAGAGAGAGACCGTTCTCGCTTGAGCCGCGTTCGCATTCCGTTGATCTCTCCGAGACCGATCTGTACGATCTGTAGTCGTTAGTACGTTTACACCCGAGCCCGGAGTAATTATGTAGCCAGTTGTGATTCGCGGAATGTCCGGTAACAGGCCGGCCTTCAGGTAGTTTCCTTCCCGAGAAGTGGAACTAGCGGGAAGACTAACAAAGTTTCTAGAAAAAGAGTAGATATTTCGATTCGTCGTGTAGTTTTCCAAGGACGTTGAATTGCAGAGAACGAGATGCTTTTCATCTGGTGACACAAGTATATATATCATTTATAAATATTTTTCTATATTATTATTATTATTTTATTCTCTTTCAATATTCTGAGAACATTTTTACAATATGCCATGCAAAGTGGACATGTAACATCGATAGAATATTCCTATAATATTAAAAAATATTACATAACGTTCTTAGAATATCATAAGAATATTATTTTAATATTGAGTAATATTCATATAATATTCGAGAAACATTACGCGCTTGTAAAGATATAACTAGACTGGTGTCGACTTGTGCCTCTTGCTGGAGAGCAAGAAAAGTTAGGATGAGCCGCGCTTGCGTCAGCTTGCGTGTGCTCGCTAAATGGAAAGCACTCTTGTGTCGCGCGTTGCGTTAGTAGTTAGCCCCCCTCTCTCTCTCTCTCTCTCTCTCTCTCGAGCGCGCGCAATTCCACGGTATGTTCACTTCCAAGGTACACGGTACACGTTTTAGTAAGACTCAGGCGCTACACAGATATAGACACCGTTTTTTTTTCTCTCTAACGATGAGTGTACACTTTTTCCTTTTGTTTTTCTTCTTGACAACTATTACAAACAGACTAATCCTGTATAATCGTGCGGTAACCGTAACTAACGACCAACAACAACAACAACCCGGAGACTTAAAACTATCTATCTATCTATATATATACATATGTACACGGTAGTGTGCCGCGGTGCACGTGCACACGCATCACACACGCCGGGAAGCGCATTCTCTTCCGAGTCTCTCTCACCTGTGTATGTATGTGTGTGTGTGTGTGTGTGTGTGTCCGACGCACCTCAACCCGTGCGCCCGCGCGCGAGTCTCTCTCTTAGTGTGTACGCACGTACACACACACACACACACACGCGTACCGTATGTATGCGCGAGGCAGACACGCTGAATTCTGTCGGTCCAACTTCGGCGAGCTGGGCTAGAGTTGAAATTCTTAGTGTGTATCAATGTGCTTTATGTCCTCGTTCCTGTTCTTGTCCATGTCCTTTTGGATGGGTCAGGGCATGATTCGGCTGAGATTGATGGGACTGTAGAGAGGCATGCTACTTCTGCTCCATCAAAGCAACCTGTTCCCGCCCCGCGTCACTCCACCAAGCCGTCTACCAAAGCCGAGCTCCGTCTGGAGCTCGGCGACGTCTCACGATTACCGTCGCCCGGCGCCACCGGCGGCAAAGGTAAAGCGCTCGAGCAGCCGACGACGCAGCAGGAGGCGGCGCACTCGCCGAGCAAGGGCAGCCCGAAGAGCAAGATACCGGTGAAAGCGAAGAGGCAGCCCTCGGAGGAGAGCGAGGAGCCCGTCGAGAACGCGACGATCCTGGCGAGATCCCAGGGTGTCGAGTCCCCGAGGAGGGAGCCCGCCGCACCGAGGGCGACCTCGCGGACCAGCGTGCGATGCGTCACCACGGAGTACACGGACGGCGAACTGACGACGAAGCGGACGATAGAGCGGAGCGAGTTGCCGAGCGAGGCGACCCGGGCGTTCCGAGTTACGGAAATGATCCCGTCGACGATGGGCGACGGTGCGACGGTCGAACAGCAGATACGAACGAGGACGACGAGCGGCGACGACGACGAGGATCCGTCGCTTCTCGACCCCGAGAAGCTGGAGGAGCTGCTGAAGACGGGCGGAGTCGTGGAGACGGTGAGGACGGTGACCGTCACCGCGGAGGCGGGCGCTCTGGAGCCGATGACGCGCGAGGAGGTCGTCAAGAGGATAAACCTGGTCGCCAGCGGCATGCCGAGCGAGATCTTCGACTTCGGCGACCGGTTCCCGGCGGACTCCACCGGCGGTAGCGGCACCACCACCACCACCACCAGGACGATCAAGACCGACCGGTCGACGGACTCGGAGGGCACCGAGGTGCAGACGGTCACGACGGTGCGGCGCGTGACGATGGAGATGCCGGAGGTCGAGAGGACCGAGAGGAAGCTGGTGAGGACCGTGATCTCCTCCGGCGGCGAGGACTACGAGGACGCTCTAAAGAGGAGCCTCGAAGAGCGGCTCGCGAGAACCGAGGTCGGGGACACCGCCTCGTGGGCGGCGGCGGCGGCTGCGACGACGGCCGCCGCCGTCGGTCGGCCGCTTACCAAGGACGAGAAGTCCGAAGTGGTCTGGCAGGAGGTGTCCTCCAGGCGGCAGGAGGAACGGCCGGATCAGTGGGAGGGCTCGCGCTTCTCCCAGGACACCTCGCCCGGCTCCGGCAACGGCGACGTTTACGCCAACAACAACAACAACAACGACGGCGGCGGCGGTAACAACAACGTCAACAACAGCAACAAGAACGGTAGCGCGAGACACGAGGTGCACAGCGACACCGATAGTGACGGTTCGCCGCAACCGAGAAGACGATCCCCCAGCAAGAGGCGTACGTTGGGCAGTTCCAGCGGTTCGGATGTAGCACTGCACGAAGGTGCGGAGCTGTCCCCGTTGGAGGACGACCAAGGTACCGCACTCTCACAGCTAAACCTTCTAAGTAAGCAATGTACATACCCCTTTGCCTCCCTGCCGTCTCCTCTCCCTCCCTCTCTCACTCTCTATCTCTCTCTCTCTCCCGTCAACCCCATGCAAGCGTCCCCGCCTTGCCCCGCTAACCGGTCGCCACGGATGAACGGGCCCGCGAAAAGATCAAAAAAATTGATGCGATATATACATGTGTGTATATTGTGTGTACATACACGGGTTGTTACACGTTGAGCTTTCGTTGTTGACCCCCCCCCTCCCCCA